ATACTGGTATTTTCATTGATTCATTTGGGTGTTAGTATTGGTATTATTGGAGCAGTTCGTAACTATGACGATTTTTTTCGTCCACAAATAGGATTGTCTGGTTATAATATTGTTATTAGCATTTTTGGTTTTATAACTTCCATCTTAGGTTTATTTTCTGTTATGACGGATTCTCCCAGAATAGGTAAAAATTATTTTTAATATTAAACTAAATTTGATTATCATAAAGTAGTGTTGTCTATTACAAAAATATATCTCTTTTCGTATATACACTTAACATACAAATATGATAATTCAATCATTTGTATCGATTCATCTTTTATTTTCAAAACACATTTTAAAATTGTAATACATATATGTATATCTTCAACTTAAACGAGTCTTATCTTGATATAAAATATTAAACATATCTCAAAAGAGATTTTATTTTATAATTTAGGTAAAATTGTAGCTATTATATCTTGCATATTGGGTGTCTTGGCGCTTGCCTCATTGGTAACTGCACTTATTATAAATTCAAAATCAATAAGTTATGTAAGCACACGTTTTACAAATAATATGAATGCATACAAGAATAGTGCAGATTCAAGATATAAAATTGATAGTTTGCAAAATAAATATAAATGTTGTGGTACAAATACATGGCTTGATTGGGCAAATGCTGGACTTAATGCAACCGGATGGAATACAACAAACAGTACAACTACTACAAATAGTACAACCACTACAACAACAATGGCAGCAGTAACAAGTGTTACAGCTGCACCATCGGTTATGAGTACAACTACTATTATGTCTATGACAGCTGTAGGAAAGTACGTGAAATCATATTTCGAATAATTTTTATATCATGAATCATCACTTCCTTTTTGTTGACTCATTTAGACGAAAACGACAAGCAACAACAATGGCAACAACAATGGCATCAACAATAGTATCATCATATGGTGGTTTCGCAAATTTACCAGTTACATATACTGTTGTCCTTCCTGGTTCTTGTTGTTCAGCTGGATCAACGATAACAGCTATCGGAACATCTACCTGTAAGTAATAACAGATATTTCGAAAAAAAAACAAAATGAATATTCTATCGTTGTTTTTATTTGAAGATTGTTTGTCAAGTTTCAGTGGTCTTGTCAATCATTTTTATACGACCGGGTGTGTAAGATCAATTGATACAGTTGCTGGTAATCAAGCAATGGGTTTTGGTGTTATTAATAGTTTTCTGGTTGTCTTAGCATTTATAGCTATTCCATTAATGTTTCGATCTCCATCCGCACATGTCTAATTTACTTTTCAAAACTAAATTATTATATTCTTCTTCTTCGAATTGAATAAACTGAGGAAGATTATTATGACAATACGTACTGATCTGAATAAAATACTTTTTCTTTTCTCAGCTGTGTTTAATTTTAGATTCAGTGGTTATATTCATTCTTTATAAGATAAAATCTTGATGTTTTGATTACTTATTACTAAACAAGCTTTTCTATTTTCAGTTTTTTTTGTATTTAATTCTTTTAATAAATATTGAACTTCGATTTCTATATTGACAAAATAAAATTCTTTAATGGACATCAGTAAAATTCGATAATATTGTAACATTTGTCAGAGCATGAAAACTAGACGAAAAATTTTCAAACGTTTATCTACATATAGCGACATCTGTTGCGTAAAATATTTTTCTAATAAATAAATCTCTTCTTTTCAAAATCTGTTCTATTGTTAATGACTTATCTTTTAAACAGATGAAATTTCTAAGATTTATCATTTGTGATTCTAATCATTTCAGATGTCATTGGTAGTAATTGATTTGAAGTGATTCATCTGTTTACTTATCGGATCTTCTATTCTTTTTCTCCAATACCAAGACCGTTTTGGTTCCTTGAATCTCTCAATCCTTCAAAATATCTTATTCTCTTCATTAACTATAGATACAAATGTACTCTAGTCACACCCTTTTCCTTCACCCACACGTCGATTGTGTGTGCAATGTGTTAATTGAATATGAAAGTGTGACTAAACTGTACTAGTGTCTTAACAATAAGTATTTACAATAGCTTACTTAATCTATAAGATATATTGAATTGAGAAAGTATTTCTGTCCTTCATTAATTTGATCTTATTGATAAAAATATTTCAAAAAAGAAAATTTCCATGTTGATTTACTTCTAGATGCAAGACTTAACAAATATTCGAACAAAATTAAATGATGATCTTTTCGCCACGACTCAAGAAACATGTCTTGCTTTATGTCGTGTACAAGATATAACAAAAAAATCGAAAGATAAAGCATACATCATATGTGCTTGTAGTAAGTATATGAATATTTTTGAAAATAATCTAGAACTTATATTATTTATTTAGTTTATCAAAAAGCAGATCCTCAACCATCATTACATCTTATTCGTATGGGTGAAAAAGCAAATGAAATAGCTAAAAAGAAAGCTACTATTCTATTACGTGATGTTAAAACAATTGATTGTGCTCCAGTACCCAATGATAAACGTCAATCATCATCATTAGGTATTGATATAACAACAACCGAACGAGAATATTCATATCAAGCATTAAAATTAGAAGAAAAACAAGAATTTCTAACTAATTTAAGAAAAGTTTGTATATTGAATTGAGAAATATCAATATGAAATATTGTTTTTTTCCTAGATAACAAATCATCATTTAAGACAAAGTCGAGATAAACCTAAATATCTTAATCTTCCAAATGATGATGATTTGATAGTAAGTAAGTAAAACATTTTATTTCTATTTCGATAAACAAAAATAATTTTTTTTGAATAAAAAATAGATCCACAAAATATGGAAACATTATCAAATCGTCCATCAGCAAATGAAACATGGGATGCGATAACTCAACAAGAAGAACAAGATTTAACCAATCTTATGTCAGAATATGATTTTGCTATAAAAGATGCTGAACGTTTTGTTGATATGCTTCAACAACGTTTAACTGATCTCGATGTTGTAAGAAGAGAAAAAAATTCAGTTTGATTCCTATTACAATTTTTCTATTAAGGCAAATGTTGAAACAGTAATGGCATCGGAAAAAGGTGCTGTACAATTAATGAATATGTTAGATAAAGCAGTTGAAGAAATATCAAAAATTGATGGTCGTTTAGGTCTTTATGAGAAAAAATTAAGTGTATGTTGAAAACTATTATTATAAAATCATAGATTTACTCTCTTTTTTTTCGTATAGACGGTTGCTGATGCAGTTAAAATTATGAGTCGAAAAGATTCATTAATTCAAATTGAAACAGCGAATGTTCAAAAATTAACTGAAACACTAGAAAATCTACTTGTAAGAGAAAGAATATATAATTTCGAATTTATTTATTTATTTTTTGAAGGATATGCAAGATTTCTCTGATGATTATATTCATTTATTACAAAATAGTGATTTAACAAATGATAATGACCGAACAACATGTATACAAGTAGCTACTTTATTAACACAAGCATTAGGAGTACAATTACAACCAGGTAGAAAATATTTAATTAAACAAAAAAAGAAGATGAGAATTTAAAATAAAAATAGGTATGGAAAAAATGTCTGCAATAAGACAAAGACGAGATTTACTTGAACAAACACAAAAAGCATTTTCATTACGATGTAAAAATTTTCTTAGTAGTAAATTTGTTTTTCATGTAAGTACATTAAATATTGGGTAATTTTACTCATATATATATTTTTTTTTCTAGTCGCAAGAATATGGTGAACGTTTTGAAATAGGTGGTAATGAATTACCACGTCATGGTGAAAAAATGCTTAGACCACTTATACCCTTTAGTCCTTTATGTCATTGGTTAAAAGCTTCATCACCCACACATTTTAAAGAAGTTTGCCATGTAAATATCAAAAAAAAAGATCAATTTATCTATTTTTAAGCTTTGCTTTACTTCTATTAAGGCTTATATTTCCCAAATTCGACCGATTTATACAAAAGAAATTCATGGATTTTTTGAATCAGCTCGATTAGGTGTTATGAAAGGTATTGCTCCGATGCTTGACAAACGTGCTGGTAAATATTTCTTGAAATGTTCTTTTGTTTTGTTAAAAATGATTGATATTTAGCTGGATCAGTTTCTACAATAAATACAATTCGTAGAGATAAACAACATGCGCAAAGTCAATCCACTGGTGGTGTACCGGATCATGATCCAATTTTTTTAAGAAATTATACAAAAGAATTTCGTACACGATGTGATAAAGTAATTCATATTTGTACAAAAAAAATTATAATATCTAATTATCGAAATCTAGATTTTCGATCGTGTACTTGGTCAAATTGCAAATATTGTACGTGAAGAACAATCATTTTGTGTAAATTTTTTTAATTTTCTCGATGAAAATACAACGTCGGGTGATGTAAGTCATATAATTTTTCTTAATTTTAGTTTTTTTTATATACGAAATGTTTTAGAATGCACCTGAATCAACAGAAAGTATTGAGAATTTTAATTCATCTGGTTTGAAGTATATATTATTTAATATTTTTTTCAAAAAAATTAATTGTTTACTTTCTAGACAAATGCTTACGGATTTATTCGAACCATTAGATAGTGAAATAAAATCTTTAATTACTCATATAAAAACTAATGATCCATTGTATGTGTGAAATGATTATTTTGTCTATTAATAATGCCTTTTTGTTTATTAAGTACGGTTCTTTATTTATTTGTTCGTATGAGTGAACATACAATAGCTGTTCAAAATTATGGAGCATTTCTTAATAAATTGTATGCTGGAAATTTAATTTTATTAAAACGAGATGTTGATAGTTATGTTGTAAGTTTGAAGAATTTGTTTCCTTTTGTTGTTAAAATAGAAATTTCTTTTTTTATGTAGAGTGATATCTGTCAACGTATAAATGAACATCGCCCAGTTAGAAATCAAAGAGTTAAAATTTTACCATTTGTAAATTATTTCGCAGTTCGTAGAAAAAATTATTTTGTTTTTCTAAATTAAAATTAATTTCATTTTTAGGATTTTAGTGAAGAAGCAGAAATTATTTTTGATAAATCACCAAGAATGGTTGATTTACATAGAGTTTATAAGAATTTAGTAGCAGCAATTTTTCGTGGAATTGAACAATGTGCTTCAGCAGTGGTTAGTGATGGTAAAACACCCCATTCAATGATTCGATTAGGTAAGAAGATAAAATTATCTATTATTCAAAGGTGATATTTGATACGATAATAGTTAATGCCCATTTAGTTTACGAGATGAATTACGACACAAATCATATAAAAATCGTGTAGGACATTTACTTCTTGATGAATCATTTGAGAACCTAAGTCAATGCAACGATCAATAAGCCTTGTGAAGCGGTTATAAGCTTGAAATATCGTAGAGAAGAGTCCAGTAAACATAAACTGTCTGATTTCTTGCTTGATTGTGTGTCCGCAGGGTCAAAAAAACATCGAAGACCGATTTTCAGGGAAAGACATTTTTTGAGGTATTTCGATGCGAGGAATTCAAATGTGCCCCTCATTTGTTCAAATTACTAAAGGTGGAGGGTGTGGGCTGATCGAAACCGAGTTTACGGGTGATGCATTTTTATGGGTATTCAAATGTTCCGCTGCTTGAGGTGTAGAGTGTGGCGACCATAAACGACAGTTCCAATATGTTTGGTTCTGCGTTTACCACTGAGTAATGAAAAACAAAGGAGAGTCCGTTTTCAATTGTTTCCCAGTCAATGTGAAGAGCAAAGCAAGTCCTTGGACGAGCGTTACTTGTTTTCAATGTAAAATAAATATCTAACTTAATTTTTGTTTTATTTAGAAAATTATCATCAAATGCAACGTAAGTGAATTAAATTATTTAATTATTCTATTTAAATAATTGACTAAAATAGATATAATGGGCATCAATAAATTATCTGCATTAGATGCAGAAAAACAAGAAGCACGAAAAAATTATAATGCTGCAAAAGCTGAATATGAACGTGAATATTGTGGATTTCCATTTGAAAAATTACATGTAAAATTAAAATTTATTTCCATATCGATTTAATTATTTCGTTTTTTTTTCAAGACATTTTTTGAACGTGTTGATGAACTTCGTAAACGTTTAGCTAAAGATGAAGATGTTCAATTTCAAAGTGATTGTAGTATTATTGAGCTACGTCGTCTTGTTCGTGAACATCCACCAAAAGAAGTATTAAAAACAAAAAAATCAATTTTGTGTTTTATCTACGTTCTTTTCATAATTTAGGTTAAACGAGGTTTAGAAAATTTATCTAAGAAAATTGAAAAACATCTATCAGATAATACAGGTCTTATACAAGTAAGTGGAAACAAAAACATTTTCTTAATAAATTTATTATTTTATATTTTATTCTAGGCAATATGGCATGATATACAATCTCTTGTCTTAGATGAACATCAACGAATGACAAAATTAATTGAACTTTGTTATCCTAATTCGAATATACATTTAGAATTTACTGTAGAAAATCTTCTTGCTTTTTTCACTGAAACCGCACCTACTTCACATTAATTTTCTTTTTTTCTTAATTGATTTTATGTGATTTATTTATCAAAAACATTCCTGCTTTTTCTTTTTTCTTCAACTGATAAATTTCTTTTTTTTTATATAATATATACGCTGCCGGTTGTTGTTAAATTGAGCTCAATCTATCTTTTCATATATTTCTATCAAAACATATTAATATGAATATATATATTTGTATAGATTATTTTTTGTTTCTTTTTAAAGCGATCAAATTAGTGATAGTTGATTTATTTAATTTTCAGATTATTCCGAGAGTTCAATTATGAAAGACGATCTTTTATTTAATCTCGATCATGGTTATGCTGAAGGTTTATGTCGAGGATTTAAAAGTGGAATATTAAAAGCAGCTGATTATCATAATTTGGTACAATGTGAAACACTTGAAGGTTCGATTAAAGAATTTCGAATTAAATTTATCTCGTATTTTTTGTTTTAGATCTAAGACTTCATTTACAATCAACTGATTATGGAAATTTTTTAGCTAATGAAGCAAGTCCATTAACAGTTAATGTTATTGATGATCGTTTACGTGAAAAAACTGTTCAAGAATTTCAACATCTACGAAATGTATCCTACGAACCATTGTCAACATTTTTGGATTATATAACATACGCCTATATGATTGATAATATTATTTTATTAATTACGGGTACACTTCATCAACGTGCTATTGGTGATCTCTTACCACGTTGTCATCCATTAGGAAGTTTTGAACAACTTGGAGCTATAACAGTTGCTGATACACCAGCTCAACTTTATACAGCTGTACTTGTTGATACACCATTAGGTAAAGAAAAATTCAATTATTTATTTAGAAAAAAATTTTTTTTATTTTTTTATTAGCACCCTATTTTATTGATTGTATTTCTGAACATGATCTTGATGAATTAAATGTTGAAATTATTCGTAGTACACTTTATAAAGCATATCTTGAAGATTTTTATAATTTCTGTAAAAAACTTGGTGGTATTACAGCTGAAGTTATGTGCGAAATTCTTGCTGTATGTATATAAAAGAAAATAAAGAAATAAAATAATCTGATATATATTTATTTAGTTCGAAGCTGATCGTCGAGCATTTATGATTACAATTAATTCATTTGATACAGGTCTTACACAAGATGAACGAGCAAAACTTTATCCAACATGTGGGCATTTACATCCAGATGGTTTACAGGAATTACGACGTACCGATAACTATGATGCTGTTCGAGATGTTGCATCTCGTTATCCTGTTTGTTAAATAAATATATTTATTTATCTATGTTTAATTCTTTTTATTTTAGCAATATAAAATCTTATTTGAAGGATCAGGAACAAATTCCGGTGATAAAACAATTGAAGATAAATTTTTTGAACATGAGGTAACAAAAATTTTATATTTAATCAAAAAAAGAAGGTTTTTTTCTATTAGGTTAAATTAAATATGAATGCATTTCTTCGACAATTTCATTTTGGTATATTTTATGCATATTTAAAATTAAAAGAACAAGAAAATCGAAATATTATATGGATTGCTGAATGTATCGCACAAAAACATCGTGCACGGTAAATTTAAAATGTTTTTTCTCTCGTAATTCAATTAAATTATTTCTTTAGAATCGATAACTACATTCCAATCTTCTGAACTATTCCAATCTCTTTTAGTTTTTTCTTTCTTTTTAACCGTGCAATGTTGTCTTGTAGTTTTTATTTTTCGTCTCATTCTCAAACGCATATATATATATCGATGTCTATCTCATAAACTAAAATAATATATTTGTAGATTTAATTGAAAAAAAAATGGGTGACGATATCATGAATTACAATGGTGGTGTTGCAGTAGCAATGAAAGGTAAAGAATGTGTGGCTATAGCATGTGATAAACGTTATGGTGTACAAAATAAAACAATCGCAACTAATTTTACAAAAATCTATCAATATGGTGATTATTGCTTTGTTGCATTTTGTGGTTTAGCTACAGATGTAAGTTTTTAATTAAAAAAATATAGATATTATTTGAGTACTATTCAAATGATCAGTAAATAATGGCGAATGTCAGTAATCACGATCAGGGCCTGGGTGTGGGTATGATCGCGATTGTGGGTGTGAGTGTCCATCTCTTATCCATTCACATCCATACCTACACTCACCCCCAGTTTGAAGTTTTTACTGATAATTCACAATAAAACTACTGATCGCTTTTACTAGGAGTAGGACAGTTCCATATTAGTTCCATTCTTAGGAACTGTTTAATAGTTCTTTTGACAGGAACTGTACTGGCAGTTCTTTTGGCCAGTTCATCTGAACTTGGAACTGCGAACTGTCCTACTCCTAGCTTTTACTGATCATTTTGAATAAAAAACTGACCATTTAATTTGTACCCATATTATTTTTTGTTTTTGAAATAATTCAGGTTCAAACAGTTGCTCAACGTTTGAAATTTCGTACGAATTTATATGAATTACGTGAACAAAGAAAATTAAAACCAAATGTATTATATAATATGTTAACAAATCTTTTATATGAACGACGATTTGGACCTTATTTTATCTTTACACTTGTTATTGGTCTTGATCCTAAGACTGGTGAAACATTCGTTTATGATTCTGATAATATTGGAGCAGTTAGTGATAATGTTAATTTAGCTACAGTTGGAACAGCTAGTGACTATATATTTGGTCTTGGTATGTTTTTTGTTTTTTTGAATAATTTATCAAAGAAATTATTTTTTCTTAGGTGAATTGTTTTTTAAACCAAATATGAATCCGGATGAATTATTTGAAGCAACATCACAATCTTTATTGAATGGTGTTGATCGTGATTCAGCTAGTGGTTGGGGTGCAGTTGTCTATGTAGTCGAAAAAGACAAGGTTACTGTACGAGAATTAAAAGGTCGACAAGATTAAAACAAAAGATCTTAATTAATGTTATTTGTTATTTTCTTTTCGTTCTTCAAAAACCTAGAAAAAAAAAGACAAAGTCTTGATTTATTCATTTTAAAAGCAATTTTCTTACTTTCTCAACTGTTTTTTTTTCGTCTCATAAACATTAAATAAAGACAAATAGATAGATAAAAAAAAATGTATTGTATTTTCGAATTAAAAAAGCGATGATATATTTATAATACAGAAAAAGTCTTTGTTTAAATAATTTTTAGTTTTGTTGTATAAATGGTGCCGTAATTTTTAATTGCCCATCTTCCAGTAAATCTGTTTTTAATTGCTCAATTTGTGTTCCAGGTGGTACAGTTATTGATTTAAAAAAAGTTGATCGTTCTGTAGATTTATCATTTTTATATTTATATTGAGCTTTGATGATAACATCATTGTTTCTTACGGTGACTTTTATGTCTTCTGGTCGATAATTTTTCATTTCCATTTCAAATTGTAATTCTTTTTGATTATCACCAATATCAACAATACGAGGTTGAAAACCTGGACCACTCAGAAAACCAGCATAATCAAATGAGGGATCAAGAGATTCGCCAAATTGTGCTAAACTTTCATTATCATCGTCTGTTTCTTCAGTACGACGTTCAGGTTCGGGATTTACAATAGGTACTTCAATAGTCAACATATTCTCTGGTGTGACATACGAACGTAACTGTGTAATATCTACATTAATAGAGAAGTTCGTGTTGTTAATGTATATATTCATAGAAATATTTGTAACTTACCAGCACTTTCAGGAAGATCATAAGTTTTTCGAATTTGTCGAATAGTAAAATCACCACTTTCATCACGATCTTCTTCATTACCTTCAACAATAACTTTTCGACCATCAACCTTTGTTTTGATCGATTCAGGATTAAATCCAGCAACATTAAGTTCAACACAAAATTTTTCAGCATCTGTTGCTCGACTTATTGTAGCAAGACTTACGTCATCATCATCATCATCATCATCACTAGTATTAGTAGTAGTAGGTACGCTAGTTGATGTGGATGTGAATTTTTTTGGTTTAGTGATCCATCGAACATTATCTGGTGTCGCGCAAAAAACTGAATCAGATACATCGAAATCATCGAACCATGGATCACAAAAATCAAGTTGTTCTTGAAAGAATGAATCCTCATAACAATAATAATGATGATGATGATGACGATGATGTGAACAACATGACATTTTATTCAATTTAGAAAATTATTTCAAATATAATTGAGTTACAAGTAAATGATGAATGTCTAGCTTTTAGGTACAATTATGTAAACATATATATTGATGAAAACAAGATAGTTAATATCTGTAATATTTCGAGAATTTTCTCGAATACACCCCCGTTTGGTTATTATTTTTCTTATTTACACGGTCACACCTTGTTTTTTCTACACTCCCCTTTGCATGTTTTCTAAAATAAACAACGCTAATAAGTAGACCGTGAACAAGATCAGATAGTACTTCAAAACATGATTTTAATTATGGTTTTTAAGCTTCGCTGAATACGTCATCAGTCAGCTGATAGAATGTTACAAGTCACCGCATGTAATCTATTTACAACTGCTGTAATGTCTAACAATACCAGAGTAGAATACTTCTATACTGTACCGTTATTCATTTTTTATCACACATATTATTGATAAAAATCTAGTTTGTTACATATCGAAAGTTAGTGAGTGTTATTAAATCATTGAATATTTCATTCACATTAAATTAGGTCAGATAGACAACATCTATGGTTCTTTTGTTTGTCTTACGAGAGAACCTCACCAATTGATACACTCCGTTTGGGCTCATATTGGGCATCCAATTAAGTCTCAGTGAGACTAGACAAAACTTAAAAGGGTTTCTCCTCTTAGGCCTTTGGAGCCGAGTAATAGCCTTTTTACTAAATTTTTGATCATTTTTTCGATAGTAAACAGAAAACCAAATCACGGAGTTTTAAGCTGAAATTTTGTCCATAGACAAGTCTAATCACCTGAAAAAACTGTTCCTGTGTCGAGATAGTGGATACTCAAGTAAATTGGCTTTTTGCTCCTTGTCTATGATAACCGCTGGTTTTTTAAAAATTCAATATCTCGACATAGGAAACTCCGTTATTTGGTTTTCTGCTTACTATCGAAAAAAATGATCAAAAATTCAGTAAAAAGGCTATAACTCGGCTCCAAAGGCCTAAGGGGAGAAACCCTTTTAGCTTTTTCCTAGTCTCACTAAGACCTACTTGGATGCCCAAACGGAGTGTATCAGATGGTGAGGTTCCCTCGTTAGTCGTTTCGTAGATATATTTGATTTTTTATGAAATGAAATCAATTCATATAATCCATTCCAAAAGTATTTTCGTTTTAATAGATAATCGAATTAATTAAACATGTTATAAAAGAAAAGAAGAAGAAGAGAAGGAAAAAAAGAAATGAGAAATAATTAATTCGATTTTAAAATAATTGCCATTTGACAAAAATTCACAAATATATATATCATTTTAAAAAAAGAAAAAGAAACAGCTCCTGTTTAATATGTATATAGGTTTTTTTCTTCTTTTTCGACAAATCAAACAAAATGAAATAATTGTAATGAGAGTGAAGAAGAAAAAAAAACGTTAGAATTAATAAAGAATAGCAAATATACGCAAAATTTCGTCTAGATATCCGGATGAGCAACAGAACAAAAAAGAAAGAGAGAGAGAGGATTAGAATAGATGATGATATATATATACAAACACACAGAATAAATGAATATCTGTAAATTGTCGTACTTGAGAAAAATTATTTATCCATCCTCGTTATATTCCCTAGAAAAAAAAATCAAATATATATATGTTTCTGAAATTGATGTAATTTTAAACTAACCAATAATCACATTCATAACCTTCAGTAACATGATCTAATAATACTTTTCGACGTGTACTACAATAACGATATTTATCTTGTACTTTTTGTTTCATTTCAGTTAAATTTGTTGTTGTTTGTGAATCTCTTTCTAAATAACCTGATAATTCTTCAGTAGCATGTTCTAAATCAGCTTGATTTTGTTCAAATATAATTCTGTTTAAACAAAAAAATCATAAAAACAAATTTTTGTTTTGCTTTCTTAACTTACGAATGATTATTTCGTTTAAGATAAAATGCAAATGGATATGTATACATTAATGTTTGACGACATTGTCGAAGTACATCATATGCTATTTGAAGAAATTGTACTTCAATCCAACTCATTTGTTGTTGCATAGATTCCATCCGTTTTTGTACTTCAGCTAATAATTTATTTTCTAATCTTAATGATTCATGATGATTATGATAACGTTTATAATAATGTAAGTAACGTTGTAATGCCGCACGAGAACGTTCTTGATCATCACGAGCTTTTTTTGCATCATCTTCATTAAAACGATTACAATTATACCATGATGAACCATGTGGTTCCCATGCACCCAAACATACCCAACAGAATTCATATTTGCACGCTTGATTTTTACATATTAAATGATTACAACCACCATTTTTTTCTGAAAACAAAAATTCATGTATATGATAAATTTCTTTTTTTCTTCTGTTTCTTACCAATAGTTGCATGACATTTAGGACATTCTTTTGTATTTGCAGCAATCCAATTACTTGTTTCACTATCATCATGACATTTTTTTTGCCATTTTTTTAACCATTTACATTTTATTGGTTCATGCCATGATTGACCACATTGAAAACAAAATGATGTATTACATCCTGTACATACAACCATTGCTACATCACAATAAGATGCTTTAATAGCATTTGTACAATTTGTTCCTGGACACCAACGCATATTTCTATTACATTCAACAAATGAATTTGTTATTAAATGTTGATATTTTCGTCGAACTTCAGGTGCATGAATTAATTGTAAAACAGTTTTATCATCGACTAGGATATCACATTTTGATGGACATGGTATTGTTTGTCCAATACCTTCATCACGAATTTTTGTTGTTAAATAATATTGCCAACAAATAATACAAAATATATGTCCACATTCAAGACCAGTCATTTGATCTGATGGTTTTGTTGAACAACATATAATACATGTTTGTTCTTGTGATGGCGATTTTAATGGATTTACTATTGTTGTTGTTGATAAATTAAATGAAGATGTTGGTATTGTTATTGATGTTTGACGACGTGTTGTGGTTGTGGTTGTGTTTGTTGTTGGACGATGTGAAGAATTTGATAATTGAGTTTGTAATGGAAGAGATTTTTTAAAAGGATTAACAATATGTGCTTGACGAAATAATTCATCTTGATGATTGGGATCATAGAAACGTTCCATTAATTTTTCTTTATCCCAACGAAAATGATGAAGTAATAAACGTACTGTTGTAAATGGTAATTTTATAACTTCATTCACTTCTTTTATACAATCACCCATATATTTGACTATTTCTTCTTGTGATAATACTAAACACAAACAAAAAATCAATATTAATTTATAGTTGAATATTATATTTAAATAATTTCTTACCAACATATTCAAAATTATTATCTTGTGGATAATTATTTGATGCACTATGACCAGTAGAATATTTATTTGTTGACTGTTCAGATGAAGTACGTGTTGTTGTTGTTACATGATTTGATTGTGAAGACTGTACAATAGGTTCATCGATTGGAAAAAATCCTGTATCATCATCGGATTCTTCTTCTTCTTCTTCATCATCATCTTCATCCTCATTCATATCTTCACTATCTGTATCTATTTTAACAAGAAAAAAAAAATAAATTCGAATTTTTTTTCAAAATAAATTTTACCTAGATTGAATTGATCATCGTCTGCCATTTAAAAGAAGATTTCTACTTGTTTGAATTCAAGGTAGAGATATACTTATCGTTCGAATAGAGGAGAGAGAAAAAAAATATATGAACAAAAAACCTAGAATGAAGAATGATACATCAATAGAGTATATATATAAACGAATGACCATGATAATAGACGACAAGAATGATAACCTTAATAAATGACGTGACGTTCTATATATTGACCTTCTGAATCATTTAAAATAGTCTAAGGCTCTTTTTTCTTCTTCTTCTTCTTTATCTCGGGTTTTTTCTTTTCTTAGAAATTAAAAGAAAAAGAAATTTCCGATTATTATATTAATTAAGTAATTTCAGTTAATAAATTGTAAAGATAAGAATCTGACTATAAAATCATATCCAAATATGGAGATATGAGAAACGAAAATTTTCTTTTTTTTTTTATTCTCGTCGAAGGTAATCAGTCTAAAGAAGAAACAACAACAAAATAAATATTTCTTTACTGACATCTAGTAAAAATGTTATTGGTTATTGGATTTCTCCATTCTATTAATGTTTATATGTATCTGTAGCTAGTAGTGGATTTGTTTAAATCTAGTATGTCTTTATCATCAAAATATATAAATTTTATTTTAAATTTATTAAATGAAGATGTATGTGGTTCAGCTTTTACATTTGAACAAATTTCAATTGGATTTCAAGCTGAAATATTAAAAACAGATTATCTTCATGTTGCTAATGCTCTTATATTATTATTACAAAATCGTGATTTAACACCAATAATACAACAACGTTTAATTATATATTATCTTTTTATTGAAATGTATAAAACGGAACAACAATCAATATATACAAATACATTTGCACCTATTTTTTTATCTGTATTACAATCAAATAATGAAAATTTAGCAAAAACACAAAAACATTTCCATTGGATTATTTCACCTGTAACTAAATATGAACGATTATTTGTTAGTTTATTATTAAATAATCAAAGAGATTTAATAAACAAAAAAACACCAAGCCAATTTTTACAAACTGATTTATCATTTCATGATGATAAAATACATAAAGAATTACAACAACAATTAAAAGAAAAAATTTATGAAAGAAAACAACAATTACCAGCTCTTGTTCAATGTCATTTACCAGCAGTAATTGATGATCCGGAAATTAATATTGTATGTTATATAAATTCTACAGAAGAAATTTTGTTTTATTTAAAAAATAATACTATACAAAAAGGATTAGACTTAACTATATTTAGAAAAATCCGAATGATGTCAATTATAATAAAAAGAATTCATTTATTTTCAAAATTATTATTAAATAGCGCTTAAAAATAAACTGAACAATATAGTTTTGAGATTTGTTATTATTTTTTATTTCTAAACATTTTAAGAGTATACTCTTTTTCTTTTTATAGTATGGATTTGATACACTTCTTGGTGGTCCAAATTATCGATCTAATAGTAGTGAACAAACAATAGAACAACTTCTATTAAATAATGTAATGAAACAAACAATTCATCCTGAATATCTTCGTCTTGTTCCACCTTTACATGAATGTACAATTGATGAACTTGTTTGGCTTCCACCATTATTACATTTTGATGATAATAATACATCATTATATGCATGGGATGATTTAATGTGTACATCAAATACAATTAGTTTTGAAATTCGTCAATTAATCGATAAAGCTTATCAAGGTGCAATAAATTTACAACAACAACAAAAAATTTTAGATGAACTTAATAATAATAGTGAACTTATTCATCATATTGGTCTTACTCCAGCTAAATTACCATTATTAGTTGAAAATAATCCATTAATAAGTATAAATTGTTTATTAAAATTAATTTCATCCGATCAAATGACAGAATATTTACAAGTATTAGTTCATATGAATATGAGTTTACATTCAATGGAAGTTGTCAATCGTTTATCAACATCTATACCATTACCGAGAGAATTTCTTCATTTATATATATCAACATGTATAAAAACATGTGATCAAACAAAAGATAAATATTTACAAAGTCGTTTTGTACGTCTTGTTAGTGTTTTTATTCAATCATTAATACGTAATAAAGCTATCGATATAAAAGATCTTTTTGTGGAAGTACAAAATTTTTGTATTACTTTTCGATCAATTAAAGAAGCATCTGCACTTTTTGGACTTCTTAAAACATTTGAATCACGTAATGATGAAACAAATGATACTACAACAGTATTAACAGTTAATGAAGAATGATTTATTATATCTATCTTAGTATTTCATTTTTATGAATATAGTGAATATATTATATTTATTGTTTGTTATAGTAGAAATATTCATCTTTTTTTTTTTTGTTTTATTTTGTTTTTTTTCGTCGGAAACATTACATATGTATTACAGTGATATCAAGTGATTGTTATCTAGTTATATGTTTTCTTTCTAATTTTAGATTATTATAATGGATGATGACATAAATAATGAGAGTGATAGATCGGATTCATCTTGTTCACCAATACCATATGGATCATCTATATTAGCATATATACCACGTCGTTATGATCGTTCACTTGTTGCTCCAACGATATTATCAGAACGGAATAATGTTCATGCACCTGTTATTAAATTACCACCATTAAAATTAAGTTCATCATTAACAACAACGGAAGAAGAAGATTTTATTGCATTAAATTTACCAACTTCTGAACAAGAATATCTGATATTTAAACAGAAATTTAATCGTCTTCGTGCAACACTTTCAGTAAGATTTTTTCTTTATTTATTTTCAATGAATTATTTTTGTTTATAAAAATTAGGTTATCTAGTTTAAGGTATGTGTATTTTTAAATTGCCTGGCTATAATTATTTATCTCCTTAGAAAAGACATCCTCTTATTTTTTTATTCCTCTGTTTTGCATCCTTTAGCTATGTATTTGTTTAATTTAACAAAAAAAAATCTATTTTTCGTCTTCTTCTTTTCATTTAAGAAATCATATCAATTTAATGTTTATACATATGAAAAAGTTCGACAGAAAAAAGCAGATCTACGACACGCAGTTGATGAGCAAAGACAATTAATTAATCATTTATTGGCTTCATCGTCCAAATTAAATCTTACGGTTTGTCATAGAAAAAAAATGAAACTTATAGTTCAAAACCTTGTCAGACTGATATTTGTACTCAATGACCTTTGAGACTGGTTACTAAATTTTATAATGGGAGAGAGAAGAGAGTCGTAAAACTTACACACTGACTATAGTCTTCGAAATCTATACTATGAATCATGAGAAGAATAATATTTGGAATCAGTATAACGAACTGTATGTAAACATATGTTTATTTTAAGAATACTTAAAAGATAATCTATGCTATTATATTTATTGAATAGAATCTGTTCGATTAATTTAGATAAGAGAATTACGAAATCAAATAACTGAACAATGTCATAAACGAGATGTTCATGAATTACGACAATTAAAACTTCAAAGTACATTTAATCAATTGAATCAAACCAAAGATCAATCGACTGAAATCTTAAAATCCGCTGATAAAGAACGTTTAATCGAACATGTAAATAAAAATTTCCAAAAAAAAAATAAGTCATTTAATTTTCATAGTATAATTCTCAATTATTACAATTAAAGAATCAATGTCAAGAAGAACTAGCTGATCGTGATGATCAAATCGAAAAATTAAAAAAAGATATATCAGAAAAATTTGGTCATGAAGCAAAGTAATTTGAAAAAGAAACATTTCATTTTATTATCTATTTATTTGTTTAGTGAACATAAAAAAATAGTACGATCAACAGAACAAGCATTTAAGATAGAAAATCAAAACTGCGCAAAGCTACAAGAATTTATTGATGATTATGAAGCTAATGTTTATCGAGTAAAATATTTCTTTATTTTTTATTTTATTTGAAATTTCTTGTTTATTTTTTCTTAGGCAAAAAAATCATGTTGTCTATCAACATCCTATCGTTTATATAAACTTGCAACACAATTACGTTTATATTCAATAATAGAATTAACTTTAAATGAACTTTTTCATTCATCTTGTTCATGTGGACAATTTCAACGTTGTCATGAAACTTTTATGCGTTTACATAATAAATAAAATTTTCAATTCATTTTTTCCTTTTTTTTTATTTTGAAATATAAAATAAACATTTTCTAGATGAGTAAAGTACGACCATTGAATGCTAATCAAATTCCTGATGAATTATTAAATGATAAAGAACTTAATTTACAAATAAAACAATTACCTGAAAATTATAATTTTGAAATACATAAAACAATATGGAGAATTAAAACAATTAAAGCGAAACGAGGTTGATTTAAAAATGAATTGAATTTTAATTTTCTCTTTCTTTTTGATTTTATTAGTCGCAATGCAAATGCCCGAAGGTTTATTTGTATTTGCTTGTACTATTGCTGATATACTTAAAGCGTAAGATAGGCGGAGAAAGAAAACTAGATTATTAACTGATGAATGTTTTTTTTTATTTAAAGTCATACAAATGTTGATGTTGTTATTATGGGTGATGTTGCTTATGGTGCATGTTGTATTGATGATTATGGTGCTCGAGCATTGAAATGTGATTTATTAATACATTATGGACATAGTTGTCTTGGTAGGTGAGTGTTAATATTCCGTCATAAAAATATCTAGATGTTACTCAACTGATTCTTTCTTGAGGTTATAAGTGTATAAAAAAGAAAAAGAGATCGATGAAATAATGTGAAGGTTATTGTAGATCTTTGATAAGATTATGAATTATGTTCTATATTTATTTGTAAAAATTAGATAATAAAATGTGATAAAAATAGAATTAAAATATGCATTCTTTTATCAATAAATATTTTCTGAATACACATGACTCATATCTCGGTCATGAAGACCTTTGTAACATATATTATTTATTTTAAATTTTAGTTCCAATTGATGAAACACCTGGTATAAGTATTCTATATATATTTGTTGACATTCAAGTTAATGTTCAACATATAATCGATACACTCAAACATCATTTTACATCTGAGAGTAAATTAGCACTTGTTAGTACAATACAATTTGTTCGAACATTACAAGTAAAATTTTTTTCAAACATATATTCTTCATTTTTATATATGGTTATATTAGATTATAAAAGAACAATTAAAAGATCATGTTGCTGATGTTATAATGCCACAAACAAAACCTTTATCACCAGGTGAAATTCTCGGTTGTACATCGCCAATTATTCCTGATTCTTATTCAATTTTATATATTGGTGATGGAAGATTTCATATCGAATCAATTATGATTCATAATCCGAATGCATCCGCATATAAGTAAATTTTTTCTTTAGAAATTAAAACAAAAAAATTAAGAATTGCTTTTTTTGTATTAGATATGATCCATATTCAAAAGAATTTACACGAGAATATTATGATATAAAATCTATGCATACAATACGTCAAAGTGAAATTAGTAAAGCAGCAAATGGTCAAGTTTGGGGTTTAGTATTAGGTTCACTTGGACGACAAGGTTCACCGAAAGTTTTACAAGTAAGATTTTCGTTTTTTTATATTGGTATACATTTAGTTCTTGTTTTTAAGACGATCAAACAACGTTTGAAATCCAATGGAAAAAGTTTTATTCAAGTTATTATGCCTGAATTAATGCCGGATAAATTAAAATTATTCAAAAATGTCGATGTGTAATTAAATTTAATTTTTTTTTCTATTCATATATATTTCATTTCAGTTGGATTCAAACATCATGTCCACGTTTATCTATCGATTGGGGTGCTGGATTTCAAACACCAATTCTAACACCCTATGAAGTATTTAATTAGAAAAAAACACACATGCTCATTTATAAAACTTGTTTTTTCTATTAGGCTATGGTTGCACTTCGTCAAATTGAATGGCAAAATCGTTATCCAATGGACTTTTATTCACAAAATAGTCTTGGACCATGGACACCGAATAATCTCGAACATCGACCTGTAAAGCAAAGTCGCCGAAAAATTGATGTAGCTTATGAAAATAAAACATGTTCTTCATGTGATGAAAATTGTTTAAATAAAACTTAACATTCTATTTTGTTTTTTGTTATTTAAGAACATGTTTTGTTTTTTCTCTCTTTCAGATTATGATCAATAATAAATAACTAATTGATATGGATCGTAGAAACGTTGTATTTAATGTTGTACAAGATAGGTACGTCTTCTTTTTTCCTTTACCAATCATCGAATAACTGATTTATAAAGGAAGAAAATAATATTAGTCGACATTTATTCTTCAAGTGCATATATATATATATACAATCATGTGCGAACAACGCAAAATAGAAATGGAATAATAATGTTGAATTATATATTTATTGTTTTTTACTAAGCTACCGTTGTCTTATTTTCTTTTTTTGATTTGATTTGTATTTAGGCAAGATTTTTTTTTGCTTTTTTTCTGCTTTCGATATCGACATGAATCATACGACAAACATGACAACAACAAAAGTTCGATGTTGATGCTATGTTTTTTTGCCGTGTGTGCATATATATATATTATTATTCATCGTCAGTGATGTAAAAAACGAAGAAAAAGAAAAAAATAATGCGTCATCGTCCTCCAAAATCTTTTTTTTTTCTTCTTTTCTACCTCTTTGTCGGCAGCTGAGTAGAAGAACAATCAGAGACACATGAAGACGAGGCAATCGTTACATAGACGAAAGAGTATGTGTATGTGTATATGTAGTTAGGGGAGTATGCGTTTTTGCGCACAGCTATGACTATTTATCGCTTTTTTATTAGAATTACTTTCGTTCTTGTGATATGTCGCTGATTCAACAATGTTATGCAGACTGACTAATACTTACACCTCGTGGAATGAGAAATTCTCTTTCTGTCTGTCGATACTTCCCCTCTATAATAAACTAAAGGGATTTTCTCCTATTTATTTATTTTTTTCGATTGATTGATAATATCTTCTATTCTTTTTTTTTCCTATCATAAGAAAGCATCTGGTACTTTCTCAAAAACATAATAAAAAATAAAATCAATATCTCCATATGACGTGTTCTATAATTTCATATATATTTTTTTTCTTCTTCTTATGAAGATCGAAGATACAAACATTTACTCCAACTCTTTTTACAATGTCCGATCAACAACAACAACAAGAAACTGCTGAGAAAAGTGTTCAAACACATGATTCATCTAGTGCAACAACTTTACTTGTTACAAATAATACCGAGAATGCTGCTGCTGAAGTTGCCAATACACTTGTATCAATGGCTACTGGACGACAACAACGTGGAATAACAACAATGAAACAATTAGTAAAATATAAATTTTCAAATATAAATGTAAAACTTTCTTTCTATAGAATGTAATTAATGTATCCAATTCATCAACATCAACATCATCATCAACATTACCAATTTTATCTCTGGCTGATTTTACAACATCACGAGGTGTACCAACCGCAACTGCATTAGCTAATCAAGCGAAATTAACACCTATAAAACAAGATACTATAGAAGAAACGACTGATGATCATTCATCAATGATAACCGATGATTATTATCCAACACGTATTGATTCAAATTCATCAACAAAATCATCTCGACGAGGAAAATCTAATAAAATCAATTCATTATCAAAACATTCTAAACATGATTCAACTGAACCTATTCAATATGGACCCATATTAGTTAAACCAAGAAAACAAATTGCACCAACACTTGCTAATGGTCGAAAAAGTAAAGATGAACCAGTGAGAATTAATATAGAAAAGAATAAATTCTTTTATTAATTATTCATTTATTTTTTTTTCTTTGTATATTTAGCTTCCACCTGAAGAAAATTTAAAACGTCAACAACGTCGTGATAGAAATAAACAAGCAGCAGCTAAATGCCGTAAGAAACGAAATGAACTTCGTGAACAATTAGAAAAAGTATTTTCTGATGTTTAATCAAAAAAATGAAAATTTGTTTTTTTTTTTTCTTTTCCATAGACTGAACAATTGTTAGTTGAACAACAAAATAATCTTCAACGTTCAGTACAAAATTTATCTGATCAAAAAAATCAATTAGAAATCTTATTACATCGTCATCCATGTTTAAAAAAACCTCATCTACCAACAACAAATAATCTTAATATATCTAAAACAGATGTTAAATCAATTCCAACAACAACTTTATTAGATTCAAATAATAGTAAACGTGTTACAATTAATTTTACAAATGCTCAAGATTTATTTACTGTATCACCATTAACACGTACAACTGATGCATCATCGTCATCATCCGTACCAATGATAACAATACATATATTACCAGAAGTTGCACAAGCATTACTTGGTTCAACATCCGTTGATAAAGCTAAATTAGCTGAATTATTACAACAAGCAAATGCAAATACTTCATCAGCAACAGATTCAATGTCGACAAACAATACAAGTTAATTCTAAACTATATATATATATATATAGAAACGTTTTTTGCGTTTGTCTAGTTTTTCTTTTTCTTTTCTTTTTTTTGTGTCCGTTCGATTTTCAATTAAATAAATACTATGTATTTAGATTAAGAACGGATTTATTATAGTTAAACATCAATCATTCTTGTGTAAAATTCGAGCATTTTGTTATTAGTTTATTAACGAAAATCAACTTCTCTTTTGCCGATGAAAGATGTTTGTTTGTTTGTTTTTTTTGTTCTGTATGTGTAAGCATGTGTATTTTTGAAGTTAAAAAAGAACAGAAGTGAGAAATAAAGTTTATGTTTAAGAAAATCTCATATAAAGAAATTAGTTTTTGATCTCTATGCATACATGAAAATCTATTTGTTTATTCTTTCATTTGATAATTTTCAAGAAGTAAGTGAAATGAATTTTGTTCTATCAATATGTATATATATGAAATCTATGTTTGCTAACGATGATGAGATTAACAATAGTGAAAAGTGAACTTGACTCAAATGTTCACTAGTAATATTATTCTATTCATCAACATGTTTCGAGCATTGTTTTTTATATTTTATATTCTTACAATTTTGATTATATCATTAACATATGGAAAGAATAGAACTAATGAGAATCAACAACAACAACAACAAATATCATCAACAAGTATTCAAATATGTGGTCCAGCTTTAGTTCGAATGCTTGATATGATATGTAATAGAGCTAGACAATTATTAATGAAAAAACGACAAATCATTATTGATGATGATCCATATACACGTATGTTGATTAGATGATAATATTTATGATATTGAATTTATTCTTTTTTTTAGAATTTAATAATACATTGATTGGTGATTGTTGTCTTCAAGCATGTACACTTAACATATTGTTAAAATACTGTTAAGAGTTAAATAATGTATTTAGGTAAAACTGATCAATAGTAAAAACAAAATTTTAGTTGTAGAATTTCTTAATGCTTGTAAATAAGAATGTTCTTTTTTGTTTTAAATCAAAATAAAATATCATCCGATGTTTTATAGCTGAAAGAAAATTGCAAGTGTAAATCGTGGTTTTACGTTCACATCGTATTTAGTAATTGAGTAGAACTTGAATGCTATCTAGTTTTATATGAATAAAATTAATGATCTCTGAACAATTATCGAATCATTCATAACTAACACAATTTATTTATTTATTCAAATATTTCAGTAAAAAATAGAATACAATAAAACAAAAAAAAACCTTACTTGAAATTTGAGTAGCAGGAATAATTTTACCATCTGCAGTTGCTATAAAGAATAAAATTTAAAAATAAAATTACTCACTTTTATGTAATTGTGTCTTTGGTCAACTCGATGTGCAGATTAAAAACGTATGCTCTTAGAAAACAGTGGCCTTGACTTATGGATATTGAATCGTCTCTTCGAAACTCGGCTTCGTTGACATATGATGAAAACGTCGAAGATACACTGATGAAATTGAATATGTTGTTGTGTTTCTCAATATAATCATCACAAACAAATATAATTTCTGATTCGGTGGCCTTCGACATGCTCGATCAACCCAAAGCGTCGGTGTTAAACGACGATAGCAGGGCTTCGTTGTGATCGAGACACGCCGGAAACCGGGTTTTTAACTCAAACATAGAAAGTTCAAGCAAATTCGAAGTACGAAGTTAATGCATAAGCAAGTCTATTTTTAATGAGAGCATACGTTTCCAATCAGTCATCATTCAGGTTGTTAAGCCACCGGGGGTGTGCTTTTGATACACGACGCGCGGTTGATGATCGAAACTGGAAGAGTAAAGAAGTATTAAAAAAACGTGTCTTTATATAGTCCACAACAATATTGCACAACCAAATGTTATTATTATAGAAGAATCGAGAAGAACGAACAAAACTACCACGTTAGATTGTGTTGTGATGAAATTATATATGCACTCCTATGCGATAAAAAAAAAACATGATACTGATTCAACATGGTGTAATTTTTTTTTCTCAACTCCATGAAAGAATAATGAAAAAGTCGTAGATATAAAGCGTGGGTGGATGTGAGTATGGGATGTGGGTGTAAGAGTGGATATTGCATTGACCTTACTCAAACATCTTCACCCACATCCACACCTACACACTTTTAAAGAGATAACTGCTGTTGCATAAGATAGATAGTTAAGAACAATACAATAGAAATTTTTTTTCAACTTGTTGCATCATTAAATACACAATGAGTTTGTGAGAGATTGCGTTAATATTCGTGCTATGATAAAAAGTGTCATATAATGTAGATAAACAAAACGGAAAAATCCAAGAAGATCGACGAGCCGCAGATATATAAATGTTGAATTACTATGTGACAAAAATATAGAAGTCTTCAGTCTATTCACAGGTATTTCTTTGTTGTCGTCGCACAAGATCCCAGAAAGTTGTTTTGATAGATTTTTCAAATTTCGCTTCACGATTTTCCAGAATGGGTGGTGCTTTCAGTGGTATACTTGGTCTTGATTCGGCTAGTGAAAAATTATCCGATGCTCTTCTGCAAGCCGAAGCAAATGCTACCGGTGAACTACGCAATGTAGCATTGACCGCTATAAACTATGTTAAGTCGTTTACACCAATCATCAGTTTGTTGATGGTTTTCCTAGCACTATTATTACTTGTTGGTATTTTATCTATACTGAATCGAATGCTTGCCGATCTTGAAGTAGATAAAACTGTTCGTTATTATACTGTGTTAGTAATAAGCATTCTCCTTTATATTTGGTTCGTTGCTATCCAAGTTAGTGCAGCAGTGAAACAGAAAGGTGCAACTAGCATAGTTATTGCATCCATGGCTAGTCTAGTTCTAGTGGCTATGATCGTCCTGACCATTCTGTTTGCTCGCCGAGGACGCAACACCAGTCAGAAAAACTCAGATCTTGCTGGTGATGAAATGAAAGACGTCCAGCGTAAGGATCGACAAATACATGATTCTTCCAATACTCCGTCTCGACATTCCATGGGTAAAAAGAAAATTTTCACACCATCTGACAACGCAGATTATTGACATTTGTTTTCAAGGTTGCTGAGAGTATCTGCTGATAAAGATTCGCTCTTTTTATAACCTTTTTCTACTTTAAATACGCACATTATTTATATCTTTTTATAATAAACAGACAAAAATGGAAAGTTCCACGTCCAACTCAATCCCCATTCATTACCATCCACGGTACTGATTGATAAAGGTGTGGGTGTGGGTTTATGGCTAATACAAGATTCACATTCTCAAGATAAGCGAGGCTCGTAGAGTCGACGAGTTACTTCTAGTTATAAGAACGATTGTATTTCAGAGGAATATATTGAATTTCAGAATCTGCTCGAAAACGGTTAGTTCATTTCCGGAGCCGGTTTTTGGTCGCGGATGAAATTATGTAATGTAGAATTTACCAGTCTTCGAGAACTTTTGTTTTGAACCTCTTAAAAGGTTTTTGATAGAAACAAATTAGGAAACTCACTAAGGATTTTCGAGAATACTGGTGTGGGTGTGGGTGTGAGTATCACATTAACCTTGCTCTGACATCTACACCCACATCAAAACAAAAATTCTTATAATATATGATGATCGAAGAACTTTTTTATTTGAATAAAGTAGACACTCTTGAGTAAATGACACATATTATTGTTGAGATAAACTAGGAGATAATGTTAAAAACAGTCTATGTATACTAATTTAATGTTCAATTTTCTTTCTCTTCCTGATGTTCTTTGGCTTCCTTTTTTGATGGTATTTTGAGTTCGACATCATCCTGAATTTTTTCTTCAAAGAAATGTTTCATTGTGTAATGCCATGCTTTTTCGAACCAACCATGTGCTCTTTCATCGTACGTTAACATGATAATAGGCCGGGGAATCATACATGGTATTCGCGTCAATTGGTAGCAACTTAAGAATCTCATGAGTCGAAGAAATTGTAAACGTAAGATTTCGCCGTCTGACACAAAATTGTAGAGCATCGTATCGCGCCAAAGAGTACCTTCATCCATTAAAGTTGGAATTTCACCAACAGCGAGACCTAAAAGAGAAAAAGATATCATTAATGTGAAGATTTTATGTAACTTCGATTCTCTAACTTATAATCTTTCACCAAAGACATAAGAGTAAAGTCGGATTTATCGTCTTACTGACAAAACAACAACATCCAGTTCTCGATAATTTATAGTCAAATTCTTTTAAAAACTACGCTATAGGTAGGCTACTGACCATACGAATCTAAAATATCGAATTAAAAGAGTGTTCCTACCAATCAAGAGATTGATAATAAAAATGCAGGAAACAATGGCCGTTAAAATCATAATGACATAGACAAGCTTATAATATGCTACTTGGTCGCTACTGTAGAGACGACTTTCATAACCCAGATCGAACATCATTAAACCTGTGCGTATAAGAGCCTCAATAGGTGTAGCATACACAGACTGATTTTGCAACAGCATCCAGTACGTGAAACCGAATCCGCAGATAATAATCATTAACACGGGTAGAAAGCGGAGAAATTTGAAGCAGATGACTTGAAGCATAGCTACATAGATGCCAACACCGAGCCAAGGGATACAACGGACATAAGCAAGAAGATTCATCCAAGCGAGAAGAAGACCCATAGCTCCAATCTGATATTGAACTGGACATCGAAAGAGAACTGGAGATTGCCAATCGTACCAGTCTAGTATATAGACGAAAGAGAGCACGAGAGCAGAACCTTCCACATAGTAAGCTCCCACGCGAAAGACCTTTGGAAAGAGAGCGAGGATTTGAATACCATTCTTGGCAATAAGTATCCAAAAAAAGACATAAAGTGTAGTTTTAAGTCGTTGATATGCAGTAGTCTTTAACACCTCGCTGACGTTCTGCGAGATTAGAGTGTTAGCAACTTGTTTACATGTACCAGTATCCAATGTCATGTCATAACCAGCTAAGGCATAGAAATACTGAGGATGTTTTCCACTGAGGACTACAGCAGTCCACAAACCGAGCAGAATAATATAAGAGAGAAATGAGAACGCCAACCAGTATGTGCTAAATCGTCGAAATATTTTTTTACGTAACCAGACATGATACTGATGTGCCATTAATTTCGGATAGACTGATTGTTCAGAGACTAACATCAGAGGATGATTTCGAACCAATGTGTAAGAGTCACGTGTATATGGCACACCAATATTACTCTCTTTGTCGTAATCATCTCTGTTGCAACACCCAGTATTAAAGTAACAACCATATATGGCACTGACGCCGAGTTTATGACATCGAGCTGTGCATGATCTATCTTCAGGAGGTAATTTCGCACCTGTTAAAATACACATTTTCAGAGAGATATAAAGAAATTATTATTATAATTGCTGAAACGATTTTAGACTCGCTCGAGTTACAACTGCTTTTGAGTTCGAACATCGTACATAAGGTACACCATATGGAGCCCGACCTCAACATCAGTTGCATACTTTGAAACTTATCCTCATTATAAAACTACAAGACCTTACTGTAGTCGGTATTTTTTATAAGAATATTTTAGTGGAATCTTTAAATACATCCGATACTCCAATAGTTTTATCTCAAGCTTTCGTGTTGAGTAGACACATAAGAAACGAGTTTGATTTTTTTGAGTTGTGTTAACTCTATTGAGCATTTGATAGAAAAATTGTTTTTAAGCGAAGTTATCATTTCAAGGAAAATTAATTTCTTTCTGTTGAAACTATCATTTTTTTGAGTGCTTTTGTATAGGTGAAATTCAGACAAGACAATAGATACTCTACAATAAAATAATACTGAACGAACTCTGCGAAAATTACCTAGCTTTTATACAACTACTTACAGTTATTTTTACTCTATCCAACACTTTGGTCACAATTCATGAAATATAAAATAAAGGTTTCGGAATTGACTCAAAATTCAAATTCTGAATCATATTTTTAAATATTTCTGATATTGAAAGTTAACGATCCGGTACCGGTCTTTTATCAGGAAAATAATGTCATCTTTAATACCATATTATAGGAATTGATGTTTCTCTAAATGATAAGATAGCTTAGTACGTATTAGATTAGCGGTGTTCATCGACCAACTACTGAGTTATATGAAAAATTTTCAATACCGCTAAAGAACGGGGAAAATTCTAGAGGATTCTAGTTTGAGAAGACGTCGAATTCTATATGAACTGTTTTGAAAATTCTGTAAATGATAGTGTAGTATAAAACTTGCGGATAATTTCGTAAAATTCACGTCAAGTTTTCTAAAAATAATGTGATTTTGTGTAAGCCTTATAAGATCAAATAATTAACGCAGTGCGTAGAAATCTTAAAACTATCTTTATCAATATACCTTGTGCATACCAATCTTTGACTGTATTCATGTCTTCGTAGAATTCATAATCGTAGATCTCCTTGGATACTTTTTGACCTGCACCACCAACTTTTCGTGTTAGTTTTTTCTCTATTGTCCAAAGAGCTACATCAGGCATATAACGAATGAGTTTTCGCATTGGTGTATCGTAAGCGTCGGTCCCTTCGATGAGTTGTGCATTGCGCATCATTCCTCGCCAGTCGGGACGCTTTAAAAGATATTTGACCATTTTCACATGCTGCTTTTGAATAGAAATTTCGAGACAATTTAAAAGTTGTGCGGTGCGTAATGTGGTTGAGGCACCCTTCTCGATCAGATACTTGACGACATCAAGATGTCCATATTCACAAGCAAGATGGAGTGGAGTGCGTCGTCGATCACCAATGACATCAACTTCTATACCCACAGTTTCAATCAAATATTTGAGCAGTTCGAGTTCTAAAAAGAATAAAAAGATATTTTTTCATTAAATAGTTTCGATTCTATGCAAATCAAATCGACGTATGTAGTATTACTTACCCTTGCCACCTCCATTCTTAGCCGCTATATGTAAACAAGTAAATCTATTATCGTCGTCTGTTGCATAAAATACTTTCGTATGAGCGTGCTCTTTGTCTGGTAAAAGCGGTTCCCACATGAATTTGAGAATACGCAAATTTCCGTGTTCACTCGCCTCATGAGCCACTGTATTGCCTCGACGATTTTTGATCAATAACAAGTTGAACATTGGTGAAACGTTTTTTTTCTTGATTAGTTCTTTCCAAATTTTCAATTCGTCTTCAGTGTTTATCTGAGCCGCTAAATGCAATGGAAGGTTACCACTACTGTCTTTCGTTTGCATTAATTCTGCGATGTTGCGAGTAGAGAGTTTGTTGATGATCATATCGAGAATATCAATTGATACTTGACGCTTAGCACAAATATGTAAGATATTGTCCTGTTCTTCAGCTCCAACTGCCAGCAGAGGTAATTGATGCTCACCGTCTATATTCTAAATAATAAAATGTGGTTTATGGTTTGACTATTTTGGCAAGCAATACGCATCTTAACATATCATTATAAAATGTTTTTGAGATACGTATGTCTCTAACTAGACGGAAGAAAGTGCATAATACACAGTTTTGGTAAAAGTACTAACTAAGTAATACTATTAACAATCGGAAGTTTTTTTGACATTAGAAGTGAAATTACAAATGGAAAATATGAAAAAAAGACATAAGTGATAAGATGCGCTAATTTAGTGACTTATAGTTCTTACGGAGCTACACGAAGACAAAAATATGAGCTATGCTATTGTCGAAATATTCTTTTCAGTTTACAGACCTTATAAATGATACTAATCGCTTACAGTTTCGAATTATATATATTATGTCAGTCTATCAATGTTTTTGCTTATTACGATTAAAAGAAAATGAAAGCATACTTTGATCAATTCCAGAACGCAGTGCTTTGAGTTGTAAAATATGGCTGTCAGTAATGGTGTATACTCAGCGCAGTTAATCTTGCTGGTGTATCCTTTTGGTGCTGGCCTATTTATAAGCCATCGAAGAAGAGCTACATTGTCGTAACGGCATGCAAGACGAATTATTTGTTCTTGAGTTTGGGGCGAAGCTTTTTCGAAAAGATTTTCTAAATGATTAAACTGCTCATTTTGTTTACGTCGAGCAATCATGTCAAATACGACCGGAATTTGTGTTTCATCCATTTTGTTTGTGGTAAATAATTTCATAAGCTTCTTCTTGACGTTTTGTTGCCCTTCCTTTTGATCGTTTGATGATGGACTTGTAATCGCTGGATGAGACGCTAAGAAGACAAGAGGTGTTCTGTTGTCTAACGTGCAAAGATTGAACAAATCTTTCTCTATCACCAATGGGTCATTGCTTATATAGTCTGCTAGATTATAAATTTGTTCTGCATTCAACTGATTAACGGGGAACACGGCAAAATGCAGTATATTTGCGTTGAGTTTGGTCAACGCCTATATAGAAAGATAAGATCTCTATAATATAGAATTTATACCTACGTCAACTTTGGCTCCATGATGAATCAAATACTTGATATAGCGAAGTCGACCTCGCATTGCAGCCATATGCAATGGTGTGTGACCTTCATCATCTGCGTGATTGACATCGGCACGATGGTCTTCAACAAGTAATTTGATTATATCTGGAAATTCCTTAATGGTTCCCTGTTAACATATAGAAAAAACATACGTGTACGTATACTTAATATGTTCAACTACATTTATATATGACCGTTGAACGTCAGTTTTTTCTACATATACGTTTACAATAGTTTTCAAAATACCTCAATCATCTTAAAAATACACGTAAGAAAATAACCAAAACATAAATGAAATAATTAACTTTGAAACTCTTGACAAATTTGACGAAAGCATCTAGTTTTGGGCTAGAATCAGATTATTCAACTACTGTAAATTAGAATTCTTTCGTTGTGTAGTTCATACGTAAATACTTACATCTCCTGCATCTCCCCATATACAAGTCGATTGAGATACTATATGCAAAACATTTTCACCATCGCCACCGAGAATGTTAACATCTACATTATTATTTTTTGAAATCACAAATATTGTTCATTTTAATATAAAATAATAACATACCGCATTGATATTTGTCTAGTTTGGATGTTAATCTATCACATAAGCTCAGATTATTACAGTAAACAGCATAATGAAGAGCTGCCCATTCTTTATCTTCATCGAGAGTACCGATAATTTTCTTCACTTTATGCTTCGAAAGGCTTTCATTTTCAACCGCACCCTTGAATAGTTCCCATTTTTGTCGAGCCATATCTAGATGTTTCTCTGAGGCAGCCTAGACAAAGATTATTAAAAAGACAACTACAGAATTATTTTAGAGCTAGGTCAATATTAATTACGTCGAAGAGAAGTTCTTGAGTTGATTTAGATTCTGATCGACCATAGTTGATCAGGGGCCACTTGTCGTATTCTCCTTGAGATTCGAGTTTTGCATAGGTCGAGATCTGAGACGGGCTTTGAACGTGTAAATCGATAGTTGTAGATTGCAATGACTCCATCGATAAGTAGTTCTGATGCGGTTGTATTTTAGACATGTATCAGTGTGTAGGCGAGATAGAACGTAGAAATTTTCTGTTGTATTGATATGATCCTAAAAGAGAGTTCGTAAGAAACACTCTTATGGCGCCGAAAATCCGAGCAAAAACAAATTTAGAAGGCTCTTGAAAATCCTATTTTTAGGGTACGTTCACGAGGGAATTCCATCAGCTGATTGAAATCTTTACAGCTCATATATTTTTCTATAACTAGCACTCTTCAGAAAAAATAAAAAAGTTTTGTGCGAACCAAGTATTTTTTCTTCGGCAACCTTTTGATAAAACGAGGGTCTTCTATCACAGACTGTCTTTTAAGTGCAATTCAGAATAAAGATTTTGTCTCATAACTTAGTTAAAATTTATTACGCAAGCATTAGCTCTTTTTATTAAGTATTAATAACAACAATAAGAACAACGAGCTAATTACTTACTTTAGTTACTTAGAATAAAAAATTCATATGCTTTTGATTGTGTCTCTGCAAGTGTCTATACCCCGAAAATAATTCATATGAAATTCTGTTCGTGTCGAGAGAAAGAGAATTTTTTACTTTACGTTGATAAGCAAGAGTCGATTAAATAAATAAATGATCTTTTACTACACATGCATAGAGTAAGAAATCATAAAAGGACATTCACGACAAAAAATACTCTTCTCTGCTATTCAAACAGAAGAAATGTTGAAATAAAAATATTAGATGGTTAAAAAATAACAACTTTCGATTCCTTTCTTACTGTCCTTGAAGCAAAATTCGTACAGTTCGTTTACATAGAGTGACTGTGATGGAGTGAGTATGAAGATATATTCCATTTTCACCGAAAAATTTTTTCGCCAGCGACGAATTCCGCCGAGAGAAATTCACTGAATGGATTTCTCACCATAAGAGCGTGCATGCAGGTGTGGGTGAGGGTGAGGGTGAGGGTGAGGGTGAGGGTGAGGGTGTGGGTGTGGGTGTGGGTGAGTGTGGGTGAGAGTGAGGATATGAGCATGCGCGTACCTGTGGGTGTTGGTTGATGGGTGTCTGTGGGTGGATG